TCATGTAAATGTTACCTAATTACTAAATAAAAATGTGTTCTGCTTTATTTTTAAAATATTGGTTTCCTAATTTTGGGTTGGAAAAGTGGGGGGCATCTTATACATGGGGGCGTCTTATAGATGGAAAAATATGGTATTTCATAAGTTTGAACTTAGAAAGTTAATATGTTTTTACTTACTTATACTTGTTCAGCATATAACACTGTAAATATTCTTAAACCCTCTATTACAGCTGCATCTCTTGAGCTACAGTAGACCTGGAAGCCTTTGTTCAAAACACTTGTAACAGAAACTATGAGATAGTGGAACTATCTGTTTTGTGTTCTATTTAAAGGAGTTTCCAAGAAGGATTAGAAAGAGATCTGTAAAACTTAGATGCAATACCAAAATACCTATAAAGTAGAAAAAGAATAATACATACACAGCAGCAATAATTGTAACAATGTATGGGTGAGAGAGGGAGAAAAAAAGGAAAGAGGGACATAGTTGTTAGTGATAAAGGAATAGGTCTAGGCCACAAAAAAAATATGCTAAAATTTATTAGTGTGGTATTTGATCCTAAGTGCCTTATTGGCCTCTTAAAATCTATTATAGCTAATTTCTGGAATCATTCAGGGCTTTGTAAGAACCCCAGTTAATTACTATGAAGAATGCTTCAGTATAAAAAATGTTCATTTTCTATGGTGCCAGCAAAAAATGAAATGTAATAACCTGTTGTTAAGTAGTTATAAATAATTCAAATAGTTGAAATAATGGAATGCCATATATATCTTTGTTGAAACGTTTTTTGCTTCACAAAATATTCTAAACCAAGTCACAAGTGAAGCAACCAGGTTTGCCAGGATATGGAAAAAACTAGAGGATTAATCCTCAAATGAGGTTAAATAGGAGTAGTTCAGTGAAAATGAAATCTAATCCATATTGTAACAGGTGTATTCTTTCTGAACAGGCGTATTCAGTGAAAGATTTGGAAATTTACTAGTAAATGGCTTAAAAATTCAATGGAATTAACAACTGATTCTACTGTGGTGTAGTGATTAAGCTGCTGAACTAGGATTGGGGAAATCCAAATTTATTCATCGTATTTATATCTCACATGTTCAAACCTGCCTGTGGTAGCTATTGGTTTAAATCCAATAGCATAAATAACATTCTCACAAGTATGAAAATATATTAAAACATCATAATACGTTACAGGTAATCCTCAAGTTACAGACATTCGTACAGTGACTGTTTGAAGTTATGGCAGCGCTAAATGAATGGTACTTATGCCCAGTCTCCAAAGTTATGGCCATTGCAGCACCCCCACAGTCATATGATCAAAATTCAGGTGCTTAGCAGCACACCCATATTTACAACTATGGGTGGCTCAACTCCTCCACCAGCCTATCTCCCACCGATCTCTGCCCTTTGGCTGCCGTGCAACACGGCACTCCTCATCAGCGGCGCTGGGTCTGAAGTAGTCCAGACCTTCAGCAGTCTCAACCATTCGCCACCACCCCCAGGCCTCTACTTCAGCCCCAGTGCTGCTGCCACCAAGGAGTGCCATCTTAAGCCCCGCACCATGGCTAGCCACCCCAGTGCCACAATGCAAAGCCCCAGCCACCCTGCGCTTACTGGTCCTGCCAGCTCTGCCACCCTGTGCTTCGCTGGCCCTGCCAGCCTGCTGGTTTGTGCTCACTCGCTCTTCCGCCCCCAGCTGACCTTTGCCATCTTCCTCCCACAGCTGACAAGGCACACCCAGCCTGGCCCTATATAAGGCAGCTGCTGGCTATGCCAGGCCTTCTTCCTGAGGCCGCTTATGCTGTTCTCCAAATAGCGTGTGCCGTTCCTGCTATGGTTTGGAACATTCTGAGCCCTTCTAAAACCTCATGAGAAGACATTCTCCAAATTGCGTGTGCCATTCTCACAATGCTCCAGAAGGCCTCAGAAGCTTTCCGAAGCATCACAAGATGGCACGCACTATTTGGACAGTGGCACATGCTATTTGGAGAATGGCACAAGTGGCCTCAGGAAGAAGGCCTGGCATGGCCAGCAGCTGTTTCACCTAGGGCCAGGCTGGGTGAGCTTCATCTGTTACAGGAGGAAGATGGCAAAAGTCAGCTGGGGGCAGCAGGCCAAGTGAGCACAAGCCAGCAGGCTGGCAAGGCTAGTGTAGCACAGGGTGGCAAGGCTAGCAGAGATGGGAGAAGGTAGGCAGGTAGGGGGAGTTCAAGAGCAGGGAGTTCCTTACCTTATTGAGGTTCAGGGCTGGGAGGGACCAAGCTGGGAGTGGCTTGAATTGGGGTGGGTCCTTGCCTAATGACCAGTGGGATTTGGTTAACAATGGCAACAGGGAGTGCTGGGATTGCTGTCACTAAGAGATGTGGTCACGTGATATTGCACTTTACGACTGCATCACTTAGTGACAGAAATTCTGGTCCCAATTATTGTAGCTTGAGGACTACCTGTATATCATCTAGAAGTAACAACAGTAAACAAGCAATAGAAAATTCAAGCCCATTTCCATCATAAAAACTCACCGGGTGACTTTGGGTCACATTTTTTTAGCCCAATTACAATGTCACTGGGAAAATAAAAAGTAGATCTTCAAATAACCAATCATGAATTCCTGGAAGTAAGGCAATACATAAATCTAACAACTCCTAATGAAAGAGACAGTGGTATAAATTACTAACAGTGGATTTCAGAAGGTGAGAACTATATAGATCAGTATATCTTCTGAAATTCTCTGGGTAGAGACATGACTGCTTCATCAGTAGTAATTCCCTATTTTTATTTCTTTATTTTGGCACTGAAGAAACTCATTGTCAAAATATACAAGACCAATGTGGAGAAATGTTGTATGGTATCAGGAATGCTTAAATATGTTCCTTATTTAAGAGGGGGATCTGTAATTCATCCAGTGGATGACAGAAATTTATGTTGGCATAGTAACTAAATAGGCACTCAAAATACTAAATTGTATTAAAGTTAGCTACACTTAGAGTAAACTCTCTGAAATAAATCAGAATTAAATTCCATTAATTGCCATAAATATACTTCAAATATTAATGGTTTTGGATCCAGTTCAATAAGAGTGCAGTATAATCTGGCATTGGGTGGCAGTTGGCAGATTAGCAGCTCATTATATTGGGATATTGGTCATTATATTCAGTAAGGTGTATCTTTAAAATCAGCCTCTCACTTTGATAACAGTACTGTGATTATGAAAACCACAAGAAGAGTGATTATTTTAAAAAAGACACTACAGCAGTAATCTGTTACAGCTGCAATAAGTGTTTCTGAAGCTATTTTTGATTTTTCACAGTCACTGTTTCTAGGATATAAATCAGATATTCTTTTCCAAATGGAAACATTCCCCCATTTCCCCCTTTTTGGGGGGAATAGGGGAATTAAACCTCTATTAATTCATGTTTATATTAATC